TTGAAGGGTCTAGACCCGAAACGTCAGCTTTCCTGCTCCTCTGATGCTGCTTGGCCTGCTGTGTTCATCCAGCTCTACACCTTGTTATATCTATAAGGTGACTGGTACCATTAAAATGCTATGGTTGAGACAACTACTGGAAATGGAGCCCGATTTTAAAACATTTTGCTGCAAATGCAATTCATGAAAATGAATTCTAAAATATGCTTAAAATAGATAAGGTTTTCTGTATCCTGTTAAAAACAATGAAATTACTCAGCACAAATGTAACAGCAGAAATGCAAATTTCTCAATTTATTGGCACAAAATACCCGCAGTATGTTGTCCACGCCCGGCGCCTCTCGGGTGTTCGTTCCAACAACTGTCCCCGAAGCGACAGCGACCTTCCTGGAAATACTTGCAGATCGGCATCGTGCAGCGTCTGTGAGCTTAGGGCAGGCTCCTCGCCACCCCCAGGCCGGGCCTTCCGGACACGCCGCTCGCTCGCCCCGGGCCGGGCCTTGTCCTAGTCCTACTCCGAGATGCGGACAGGGGCACTTTCTGTGACGGGCAAGAGCCGCGGGATCACCGACTTCCTCAACGCCAGGCACCGAGTGATTTGACTGAAGCGGCAACACATCCCATTGCTGAGCCCGCCGGCCCGCTCCGTTGTTTTGTCGGTTTACTCTGGAGCGGTTTAAATTTCAAAACTTCAGCAGTTTCCCGCCGCCGTCAGAATCCAGCGGAATTACACCACCATGGAGTGAAAACAATGGAGGTGGATGACTATAAACAAGTCAGTCAGATTGTATCTGTCTGCGTCTGTGTGGGTGGGGTATTACTGCGCACGCGCGGAAGTGATTGTGCCCACTATGTGGTGGTTTCGATGGAGGTGGGGGGGCAGTGTTAAGGCAGATCAATGTGTGCGCGTGGAGAGGTGTATCTCCATGGCAGTGGGTATGGGGATGTGTCTATGGGTTGGTTGTATGTACTGTTGTCAGTTCATGAGTGGGTGTCTGTCTGTCTGTCCGTCCGTGTGTATGTGGGAGAGGAAACTATACGGGAGCTCAACAACATATTATGATAAAATAATCCAATAATTGGAATCACTTCTCAACAGGGCAGTGTTCCCCAAGATATTTTTCAATATCACCAAACTTTAACATTTGAAAATTAATTGGACCCTACATGCCTGCAAACAGCAATAAAACACCATTATGGTTTTCAGTATATAATTACATTTGCACATAGATCAACATTTAATAAATAATGAAGACTGTTTCTAAAATGCTGCTTAAAAGATTCATTCTTTTAAATATACTTAGGTTTCCGTCAAGCTCTTCATGTTCCCTAGAGACAGAAGATTCAGCAAGATCCCTTTCTCTCCCCATTACTGCTCACTACAATCAGTTCCCTCCCCTTCATTCCGAAACACTGCAATCATCCCAATCCCCAGACATTGTAATCAGACCCCACACCGAATGAAATTAGTTCTGCCCTTCCCACACACCGTAATCAACCCCTCTCCCCACACACACCAATCTGCCCTCTTTCCCCATTTTAATCTGTGTAATGGCCTGCAAAGCAGAGTTGCTAATCTGGGATAAACAGTCTGTACAACAGGCAGATTAGTTCAGAAATACTTAAAAAATTGGAAACCACCTTCCTGGTTTAGTCTTTCTTCTTACATTCCAAACTTGTCAGAACTAGAGGAGTAGGCCATTCAGCCCTGGAACCTATTCCACCATTCAAATGAGATCATGACTGATCTGTGACATAACTCTATATACCTGCCTTTGCCCTTCTCCCTCAATATCTTTGCTTAACAAAAAATCTTGCTATCTCAGATTTTAAATTAACAACAAATCTAGTATCAAATACCATTTGTGGAAGAGAGTTCCAGACTCTACCGTCCTTTCTGTGTAGAAGTGTTTCCTAACGCCCCTTGAATGGTCTGGCCCTAATTTTTAGACTACGTCTGCTAGTTCTAGAATCTCCAACCAGTGGAAAAGTTTATCTTTACCCACCTTATCTTTTCCTGTCAATATCTTGAAGACTTCAATCAGATCAAACTTAATCTTCTAAATTGCAAGAGAACGCAAACTTAATTTGTATAATCTCTCCTCATAACAACGGAAGCTCATGTATCATTCTTGTAAACCTGCATCCAAGGCCAATATATCCTTCCTAAGATGTGATGCCCAATTTGTTCATAATACTCCAAGTGGGATCTAACCAAGATTTTGTATACCTGCAGCATATCTTCTGCAGTCCTCTAGATAGAAAGGTCAGCATTCCATTAGCTTTCTTGATTACTTTCTGCACCTGTTCATGGCATTTCAAAGATCTATGCACCTGAACCCTCAAGTCTCTTTGGGCATTCACTGTATTTAACTTCATATCATCTAGAAAATACCTTTATCTACCCCTTTTCGGTCCAAAAAGGATAACCTCACACTTGCTTACATTGAAATCCATCTGCCAGTTTTGCTAATACACTAGTCTTTCAATATCCCTTTGTAATTTTATATTATCATCCACATTTTTGCAGCACTGCAGACACTTTGTGAGATCAGCAAATTTGAATGTGACTTTCTATGTCATTATCTCAGTTGTTAATAAATAACGTGAATAACTGAGGCCCTAACACACATCATTGTCGGACCACACTAGTCACATCCAGCCATTTTGAGTACCTAGCCATCATCCCTACCTTCTGTTGCATTCCACTTAATCAATTTCACAGCTGTGCCAGTATTTTGCCCTTAATTCCATGGGCTTCGATCTTTGTTATGTCTCTTATGTGGGACTTTATTAAATGCATTCTGGCATAAACAACATCCATAGATATTCCCCTGCCCACTATCCATCACTCACATTCGCGGTCTCTACCTGCATCCAGTTAGCACACAGACATCACAGGCCTGCTCAGCATTTGCTGCCAAAAGATTATCTGAGGTTAAGTCGTGCTTTGGCCTCACTACCCGACCCTTACTGTTTAACAGAACTTAGCCAATGGGTCTCAGGCTGTCCTTTCATATCTTTGGGTTGAGTAGCCTCCTCCCACAGTTGCTATTGCTGCCTGGAGGAAAGGGAGCTTGCAATTCTATAAACTTGCTCTCTGGTCTCATTTGAGATCGTGACATTGGATAATAAGCCAGAATTACTTATGGATGTACTGAAGTTTTAAATATGTCATTCTTTTTCTTAGAAAAGTCATACAAACCAAAAATGACAATGTAAATTCCATGGCTGTCTGTAACATCTCTGTGTAGATTGCACAGTCCTGAGGGGAAGCAAGGACACAACACTTGAACAAAATTAAGGGAACTTCAGACAGCAACACTTCAAAGGGAAAAAAAAAGACTGAAATGGGTATATGGCTACAGAGATGATGAGGAACAAATGACCCCTTCTCAGCAGAAAACCTGAGAGTTGCGTCCCTAACTACAGACATGATATGAGTTGAAAGAAAGGCATATGAGTGAAAGAGGTGTGTTTTACCCTTTCAGGAAACACCCAAGGTGGTTTTAAAAAAACCCATGAAACCTGGTATCTCTGGCACTAGAGTGCCAATATCCTAGTACACTACCTTGGTTTTTGAGTTTCACCGTCTACTGTGACAGGACACAGCTGAAAACATCCACTAGACACTCTGCATGTGCAACTAAATAAAAGTCTCTTTCTGATTACTGAAAGAAAGTCAACAAAGTCACTGTGGAAAGAAGTCAGATAAACTCATTTCAGCTAACTGAAGAACTAGAGCTTCCAATCAATCAATCACCAAAGTCAGTGTTATTAGATTCATCCATCTTTACTGTTGCAACATTTCAAAATCCACTTGTCACAGGCAAACCAAAGATTGATTGTTTTGTACTTCTTAGGCTGACCTCTCATCTCTAATCTGTGTATGTGTCAAATTTTCTCATGTTTTAGTGAGTAATTGTAAATAATAAAATTATTTTAACTCATAAAAGCCTGTTTAAATTGCTCCTTATGAAAACATTTGGGCTAGGAGAAGGAATCCATGAGCGGAAGGATCTTTTTAAAATTAACCTTCTTGTGACCTACAGAGGGTCAGTTGAGTAAATAAATGGAGCCAGGTCATCCCTCCTCACCTGGAAACATAACGATTTGGGGTTACTCTATTTGGAATTGGAGCAAATTTGAAACCTTTGGCCAGTGCCCGGTCGTGACAGTTGTGACTCACAGGTTGGGACCTGCTGTTTGTAGGATATGTTGTACTATTCTGACCACTACAAAGTTGCATAATAAGTTATTGGATAAGTTTCCAGCGGATGCTGGAAACCATCTTTTCCTAGATGCAATCAGTTCTAAATAAGGGTCACTGGACCCAAAACACAGACTCTGCTTTCTCTCCACAGATGCTTCCAGACCTGCAGGGATACATTATTAGTTAAAAACCAAAAGAACTGCAGATGCTGGAAATCAGAAATAAAAACAGAAATTGCTGGAACAGTTCAGCAGGTCTGACAGCATCTGTGGAGAGAAATTAGAGTTAACGTTTTGGCTCCAGTGACCTTTCCTCAGAACACATTATTGGACAGTGGTTTTACTTATTGACTTTATAACAACTGCTTACATTCGCAATCATAGTCATAGCACAGAAACAGACCCTTCAGTCCAACTCGTCTATGCCGAACAGACATCCTAAATAAATCTGGTCCCATTTGCCTGCATTTCGCAAACATCCTCTCAACCCTTCCTATTCATTTGCCCATCCAGATGCCTTTTCAATGTTGTAATTGTACCAGCATCCACCACTTCTTCTGGCAGCTCATTCCATACTTGCACCACCCTCTGCGTGAAAAAGTTCCCCTTTCAAATCTTTCCCCTCTCACCTTAAACCTATGCCCTCTAGTTTTGACTCTCCCCATCCTGGGGAAAAGACCTTGCCTGTTTACCCTATCCACACCCCTCATGATTTTATAAATCTCTATAAGGTCACCCCTTAGCCTCCAATCGTCTAGGGAAAATAGCCCTAGTCTATTCATCCTCTCCCTTTAGCTCAAACTGTCCAATCCTGGCACCATCCTTGTAAATCTTTTCTGAACCCTTTCAAGTTTCACAACATCCTTCCAATAGCAGGGAGACCAGGACTGCATGCAGTATTCCAGTAATGGCCTAACCGATGTCATGTACAGCTGCAACAATGACCTCCCAAATCCTATACTCAATGCACTGACCAATAAAGGCAAGCATACTAAATGCTTCTACACTATCCTATCTACCTGTGACTCCACTTTCAAGGAACTATGAACCTGCACTCCAATGTCTTTGTTCAGCAACACTCTCCAATCTTCTGATAACAGGCACAAACTCCTGGTTAACAAGTTTGATATGTAACTTCTATATCCCAGAATTGAGATACTGAATTGTTTAGTCTTGGTCTAACTTTAAGGTCTCCTTCAGTAAATTTAGTGACAAGTCAATGTAAGGAGCAACCTTCTCTTGCAACAGTTTCCTCTTTAACATTTCACAATGGAAGAGATGATAGACTTGAATGGCTGTAAATTGGGAGAAGGGAAGTGTACTGCGGGGTGTCCTTGTGCACCAGTCGCTGAAGGTAAGCCTGCAGCTGCAGCAGGCAGTAAAGGAGGCAAATGGTATGTTGGCCTTCATTGCAAGAGGTTGAGTACAGGAACAGGGTTGTGCTGTTGCAGTTATACAGGGCCTTAGTGAGGCCACACCTAGAACACGGTGTGCAGTTTTGGTCTCCTTTTCTAAGGAAGGGTGGTCTTGCTCTCAAGGGAGTACAGTGAAGCTTTACCAAGCTGATTCCGGGGATGGCAGGACTGACATACGAGGAAAGATGGACTAGGTTAGGATTGTTTTTGCTAGAGTTCAGATGAATGAGGGGGCGATCTCATACAGACATAAAATTCTAACAGGACCAGACAGGGTAGATGCAGGGAGGATGTTCCCGATGGTGGGTATGTCCCAGGGGTCACAGTCTGAGGATTTGGGATAGATCATTTAGTTCAGAGATGAGGACACATTTCTTCACCCAAAGAGTGGAAAGTCTGTGCAATTCATTACCACAGGAAATAGTTGATGCCAAAACATTGAATGTATTCAAGAGGCTGTTAGGTATAGCACTTGGGGTGAATGGGATCAAAGATTATGGGGAGAAAGCAGGATTGGGTTACTGAGTTGGACATCAGCCATGATCGTGATGAATGGCAGAGCAGGCTCGAATGGCTGAATAGCCTCCTCCTGCTCCTGTCTTCTATATTTCTAGGACAGCTGCCCTTAACAAGACAGTGCATTGGTGTGAGCAGATTAAATTAGCATAAATTAATAAAGTGACAGCTATTCATGGATATATGCTGTTTCTACCATAACTAAGGTTGACTCAATTAGACAGGTGAGTAAAGTACACACAGCAATTTGTTTTCAACAAAACTAACATGAAACAGATTGTACTTTAAAAATAAAACTGGTTTATTAAAACAACTGAATTACATACAACAAAACAAGAAAATTTTAATTAAGGTGCACTGTACCAAAGGAACATTTTAACATTAGAAACTAACATTTCTAGTTGATAAATTACTATTGCGATTGAGAACAAATCATAAATTTGCCTCAAGTAAATTAGATCAAATTAATCCAACATTTCCAATATTGGGAATTGATACACAACTGACCTTGACTTTCCCTTAAGGTACCATAGGTCGTGGCATTCAATTTGACACAGTATGTGAAACAACTCCAGTTGTCATATGTTTAGGCCTATGCTCCGTGCATAGGTTGCCCCCCACTTTTCTGCAAAATGTTGTACTTGTAGTTTTCCCTTCAGTAATGTGTATTTACTCGCCTCAAAAGTGAGTGCATGGACCATGTTACCAAGAGTCTGTGTGTGGGTGTTTAAAACCACACCCACAGGGAGTAGACTATAAATTTCAAGCAAAAATGGGTTATCCAGCAAAATGAATGAAAAATGAAGCTAGTTTCTAGTGAAGTCATAACATTCATAACTGGCCAATAAGGTGACCTCTACGTGTGGAAGGTTTTTTTTTGAGTTTTCAAAGGTTGGACCTACACATCATAATCAGTTCATACGAATATCCACACCAATGCCATTACTGTGATTGCAACAAAAACAAATTTTGTCAAAAGATCACCTGAACTTATGGAACAGAAAGTCCTGATTATATGAAATTAAAATACTTTCTTTAAAAGAAAAAGAAACTTTCTTGCCACAGTTTTTTTTTAAACTGAATATAAAGTACAGGTCCATATTTGATATCTACAGGGCATGCTCCAATCTTAGTCACGCATCTTTGCGAGGCACATTGAATAGGCTAAATGCTGATCTGTTGAAAAATTAACAAGTATATGAAGCTACCCAAAACCTATGCCAAAGTTCCTACTATCCTAATCCAAAGCAACAGACAGTTGCAGGACTATAATGAGTGATACAAAACACAATGGAAAACATTAAACCACAGGATAAAATCTCAACTGAACTGAAGCTACATTAGGCTAAAAAGTAAACATTTTATGGTTTGTTCTAAAATTTCTTTTATTGAGGTAAAGCATTTAAAACTTTGGAAGACACATTCTTCAAGCTCCAGAGGCACATTTGAATAACCTGTCTTTAATATGGAGTAATCACGTGGATCCATTCTTAATCAATATTTTAGGCAATGTTCAGAGTTTTCATTGAATATATGTTTAACAAGTTAGGTGACTATCAGATTCAAGTCTGCTTCAAAAATTCCTCATCAGGAACTCATCCGATTTTTTCCATAAACTAGTTAAATGAGACAGAAAATCAATTCACATTTTTGAGCGGGAGAACTGAATCTGCTAGGCAATGGCTAATTAGCTGGACATAAAAGACAAAAAAAAAAGAAATGTAATAAAAGTAAATTTAAACAGAAAATACTTAGTTGAAGGGCTGATGAGAAATCATCTCTCTCCAAACACGCTATCTGTCCTGCTGCATTCTGGTTTTCTGACTATTACATCGAGAATCTGTAATATATTGCTTTTGTATAAATGTATATTTCCCATACTTAATTTCTTTAAACCATTTAAATTGAGCTAATGTTGTACTGTGTTGGTATTCAATGCCATAGTTAAAGCTATATGCTAGAGAAGACTTGAAAGTGGGAAAAAGGGCATTCTAAGTATTAAAATCTCACACGGAATAATTTCCCGAATCATTTCAGATTCAACTGTATTGCTATTACTCCTAAATAGTTGATAGGAACTGGCATTTACTTTCCATTCCTTGTTCTCCTTCAAGTGCTGAAGCTAAAAGATCATTTAGGACGTTACTACTTAGCAGTGCATATAGGACAAGAGATGCTTGAAGCTGAAATACAAGATGTTAGTTTAAATAGTTCTTATGTGCCAATACAATAAAGCAATTTACCAACATTGAGAAAAATCACAGAATTATTCTGTTAAAAATGTCTCTTCAGCATAAGGGTACTTCAATAATGCCATTCAGCCACTTGATGCTGATCCACCACTCTATTGCATCATGTCTGATCTGTATCTCAATTCCATTTTCTTGCCTTTGTTCCACATTCCTTAAATATCTACCTAGTAAAATTTTATTGATCTCAGTTTTGAAAATGTTAATTTATGTAGCATCCCTAATATCTTGGGAGAATAATGACTCAAATTTCTACTACTGGTGAGGAAAAATGCTTTCTGGTTTAATCTCTTAAATAATCACTCTCTAATTCAAAAATTAAGCACCTTTGTTCTGAAATTTCCCATCAAAAAGGAAGTAGTGTCATAGGATAGATACAAGACTATCATTTTAAACAACTAATTTAGATCAACCTATCTTAATATATTAACCATTTTAACTCTAATATTCTGGTGAATCTGTGCTGTACCCACTCCAAGGCCAATTTATATTTCCTGAGAGTCGGTGCCCAAAACTTTATGCTATATTTCAGATGGAGTCTGAGGCCAGGTTATACGGAAAGGCACTAGTCCACTCGCTACTGGGAAATCGGATTAGGTTACTGGGATATCCATACACAAACAGCAACCATACCGAGGCAGCAAGAATATAATTCAATTTAGTTTAAAAGTTGAAAAATGTATTTAGTAAATTATTGATGGCAGAATATCAGTATTAATGAAGGAGTGTCTTAATTAAGTATATTAAGTAATACAACTTGGTTACACTCACTCAACCGACTTTCTAAAAAATGCTATTAAGATTGAATTAAATAATGCCAGTGAAAATGAACATTTTACGACATGAAATAAGCATTCTAGATTAATGTACAAACTGAATGCCTCTGTAGGTCTTAAAATTGTACGCCAAATTTGGGATTCAGAATCACCCAAGCTTAGCTCAGTTAGGTGTTCGTGGCAGATAGAGGGGACTTTTATGACTTATTGAATTTGAAACCAAACCCCATGGAACAAGCAATAAATTACTACTACTTTTGGGTTAAACAGACAAATGTAAACCATGTAAATTAACCACAATGCAGCACATGCATTAAGTGCATTGAATGAGAATGGTAGGAATGACAGTGCTACAGAAGACAACTGAATACATCATCACCAGACTGTATGACAGTCTCTTGTAGGATATAGGAAAATAACTACAGGTTGTAAAAATATTAAAGATTATAAATTCAACTAGATCCTAGTCTTTCATACGGAATTGAAATTTTGCCAATTGTGGATATGTCATCTAGATAGCTTCAATATTTATCATATTCTATCTGGAAGCATCACAGTATAGGATTGCAACTGCTCTTCCCAAAACCACAAGAAACTACAGAGTCGTGAACACAGCCTAGTCCATCACGCAAACTAGCCTTCCATCCATTGACTCCATCTATACTTTCCGTAGCCTTGGGAAAGCAGCTAACATCAAAGAGCCCTCCTGTTCCAGATATACTTTCTTCCACCCTCTTCTGTCAGGCATAAGATATAAAAGTTTGAATACACATACAAAGAGATTTAAGAACAGCTTCTTCCCCGCAGTTATCAGACTTTTGAACGGACCTCTCAAATGTTAATTCTAATCTCTCTGTGTACCTTCTCTGCAACTGTAACATTGTATTCTGCACTCTGTTCTGCTACACTGATGCACTTTGTATGGTATGATTTGCCTGTACAGCATTCAAAACAACATTTTCCATGCTCTCAATATGTGTGACAACAATCATTCAAGCATATACAGATTTGATACCCAACTCTCTTTAAATTTTTCACATGCAAAAGCCACATTCTCCTTCCTAGTAACTAAAATTAACACTTGTACAGTCTGGTTACAATGTATATCTCACTGTACGAAATAAATCTGCATTTTGAATGTTGAAAGTTAAGTTTTCTTTTAAGTGGACTGTATGCCCACAGAAAATCCTTGTTTACTTTATCTAGAGAAGACTTTAACATTTAAGTTATTGTTGCCAATTATAAAAACAATATGCTGGAGAAACACAGCAAGACTGGCAGGATCTGTGGAGATGCGCCTCCAGTTCAGAACAGGAATCACTGGATTCAAAACATTAACTTTGACTCTCTCAACACAGACGCTGTTGAGTTTCTCTAGCATTTGTTATTATTTCAAATCTCTTGATCTGCAGTATTTTACTTTTATTGTTTCCAGTTTCTTGTACATGACTGTCTCATATACCATTCCTTTGTGCCATTTTAGCAGAGATGTTAACCCATTTAAAAAAAGTTCATAGCTACTTTTAAATAGGGTCCAGAAGAACGTTATTGAAGCATTTTCCATAAATGCTGTGCAAAATGAGTTAGATAATTTCCTAAAAATATAATAAATGGAAACGAACAGTTAGAGATTAGCTTTGTGACTTGTATGGAGAAAATCACTCTTGCGGACTTGATGGATTAAATAGTCCGTTCCTGTGCTGTTACATTCGATAATTTGATGTCTGAAAAACACCTTATTTGTTTACTAATACTGACAACAGTAATTTCTAGATTTGTTAAAATAAAAAAAAAATACAAAATCTCTTTCTATAGTGATTCCCAGAAATATCCAAATGCTCCCAACAATTTTTAGAACAAAAATTCTGTAATGCTAGGTAAACAGACTTTTTTTTAAAAATAACTCAAAATAATTCCGAATACCATCATCTCTTTAAGACATCTCAAAGGACTTAAGAGTTAGAAAGCTCTTCAAATACCAGTTTAAGTCAGCACAAACTGATAAAACAGATGTTATTCTGCAGCTTCAATTATGTTTTCTTCAAGTATCGACCTTTTCTTCATTTGCACCACAAGTGTCCACAACACATATAAGACAACTGGTTACAGGGAAAGCACGGACCTTAGAATTAGTTGTCCATTTGTCAGTCTCAGTGTTATACTCCAAAATGTGACCCAATCGGCCTACACCTTGGAAACCAGCCAAGACATAGATTATAGGGCCTACTGCTGCACATTTAACTGTTACCCCTTTCCAGGGCATTGTTGACACCATTTTCCAATCATTCGTTTTAATATCATAATATTCTATGGAATCCAGACCACCTGCAGGAACAAAAAAGCTGATTAATTTTCTTGCTCAGTGCTAAACTAACATTAAACTTAATTTAGACCAGCATTTTACGTACACTTTCATAATACAACTACTTACCTCAAAAAATACTAAGTGACGTTTCTTTACCAGAGCGCAGCATGAGAAAAAAATGGTTTACAAAATATCACCTATACCTACGATGAAACAGAAGTTTTTAAACTTCATTATATTTCATGTACTCAGGTTTTGACAGTTTCAGTACACCATTCTATTTTCTGGCTTATTTTATATTCTCCTTTCCCTTGTATATTAAGGAGACCTTGAGACTTTGATCCTTTACAGGCACAGAATTGATTCTGAGAGGTGGAGATGAGTGTCATTTTCTTGCACTTGCATAAGGTAGATGAGACTCTGGACCTAATTTGGAAGACTGCAGGATTCTGGAACTGAGGATTTAACTGTAATGGAATGGAGATGAGCAGGGTGGAGCTATGGGAGCCCACAGTCCTCTTTCCACATTTTTACAACTGTAACGAGCATCATGCTTCTTTCATTTTAAAAGCATTATTATAACCCACATTTTCAATGTCTTAAGTTACCTCCCCTTACTTCCCTAATATTTAAATATGACTCCAAACTGTGAAGTTCCTTGTAATATTTTGCTGAATTAAAACCATTGAAGCACACACACATCCGCTCTTAACATATAATTGTCCTGCTAAAAGTTTAATACAGGACAAAATACTGAAAAATAGTATTCAAAAAATCATTTTTAACATTTTAAAATGCAAACCTGGACATGGGCTATTATCAGGTGGGAGGATAAAGTGACTTGTAATGTCACATTCATGAAAATGTGGTGGATATGTTAGGATATTGATTTTAAATTAAAAGATGCTCAGCCAGGTTTGAAATCATCTTTGCTCATATATTAGAAGTGCTAGGACAAAAAGGAGATTGATGTGTTAATTAAGCAGGCACTAAAACTGAGATAGGGATGATTAACATTCACACTAATGGTATGGGGTAAAATATTGTCATGGATTGTGTGTGGCTAGCTGACATGAAACAGAAATGTACGCATAAATGATTCAGTTTTTGGTTGACAAGATGTAATGAGTGGTATTCAATCCAGAACAGTGCTGGGACCTCTACTTTTTTTTTTTTAAAACAGTTTGTATAAATGATTGAGACAAAGGTACTGAAGGTATGATTGCCAAATTTGCTGATAGCATAAAAATAGCTAAAAAGTTGTGAACACAAGGAGGCTACAAAAGAATGGTTAAGAATAGGTTAAGTGAGAGCATAATAGTCTGGTAAATAGAATACGATGGAAAAATGTCAACTTTTCCATTTTGGCAGAAGAATGAAAATCAGGTTATCTAAATGGAGAGATTTCAGAGCTCTGCAGAAGTATCCATATGGCTTAGCGCATGTATCACAAAATGGGTACAGCAAGAAATTAGGAAAGCTAATAGAATTATTAATTGTGAGGGAATTTGAATACAGGAGTGGCTATGCTTCATTTATACAAACACTGGGACCACATTTGGAGTACTGTGCACTGCAGTGGTTTTCTTAGTCAAGAAAGAGAGTGTAAATATTTTCGAAGAAGATCAGAGAAGGTTTACTGGACTAACACTTGGAATGGGAAAGATTTCTTGTGAAGAAATGCTGGACAAGCTCCACTAGCCAACTCACAGATAGGAAAGGGATCAAGAATCAAACTTCCAATCTCCTGGGGCACAGCAGGGTACAGAATAAAGACACGTTACGGGGCAGTTTGTGAGATCTGCAAAGGAGTAAGTGAAGGAAACAAATGCTGAGCATCAGATGCAAGTTCTGTTCAAAGGAGAGAGCAAAGGGCACAAAACCCAAGCAAGGCGTAAATTTTGAAGACACACTAAAGTGTATTATAAATATTAACTATTATAATAAATATTAAAGCAGAACTCATTAGCTGACGCTGAAACGTTGGTGAATGATGCATCGTATTCCAGCTGAGAAATTCCACACGGAACGTCAAAATAATCAGAGCAAATGGTGTTGTGAAAGACCACAAACCTGTAGTAATAAGTGGAAGGGAGAATATGAATATTTGAAATTGCTTTCAAATTGATGACTGAATACTACCTTTCTTTCCTATTTCCTATCAATTTTTGTTGGCCATCCCACTTCAACTACTTTCTTTTCACTTAGCCAAACAATCATCGTTTCCATGCCTACCTCAACAGCAATTGTAAGAGAAAAAAGGGCATGCATTTACGTTGTGCTTTTCACGCTGTACTGGTGCAGTGGTGACACTGTTGATTCTGATTTGCAATTTTAGGGGAACGTAATGCAGATGAACCTCAACTACAACGAACAGGCCTAAAAATGTTACCGTTACAGATAGAATACAGAAGTAAGCTTGAATTTTAAGCAGCTACTTTTGGCAAAGAGGAAAGAGTGAAACTAAGTATGAAGCACTGAATGCAGGTTGAGAACTCTCTCTTCCTTGAAAGAGACAGAGACGGAGAGAGAGCCCAGTGACAATATTAATTGGAAAGAAACATCAGAACACTGATAAATCAAAGGATAACGTCAATGTTCTCTACTTCTAATAGTCCCCGAAATGCTGCAAAGGCTACAGGCACTGGCAACATTCAACAATAGTACTGAAGACATGCTCCTGAACTGACTGACAAGTTCCAAAGAACAATCATACCAAAGTTTAAATGTTAACTCTGTTTCTCTCTCCACAGACACTGCCAGAACTGCTGAGTTTCTCCAGCATTTTCTGTGTTTAAGTGTGTACTTATTAGTGCAAGAGGCGTATCAGCAAAAATCTGCACCATCTTAAAATGGCCTGACAAGACACGTGTAGAATTTAAACGTCTTAAGCAGCTGGCTTTTGACTAGTAGGGACAGGCAGTTAAAATGGAAGCTACATGCAAAAACCTACACGTTGGAATTGTCCTCGAAGCTTGAAGATTCTAACTTTTTCAATCTACGCACATATTGAGGAACAGAGGGAAGTACGGTTCAGAGGGCACCATTCAGGTTGACGACTATATTGACTAGGCTGGGGACTAGAAATCTTCATAGATCAGCGAGAGATAAATATCACCAACTTCTTCTATCCCCAACCTGAGACAAACAGAGGGAAAAAGTAAGCCAGGCAGTGAAAGATGACTTGTCCCTGACTGTAGAAAGGAGGTATCTGAACAGGAGAGAGAGGTAAGCAACTGTCCCAAGCCCTTCCGAAGTGGGAAGGCCAAGGAAAAAAAGAAAAATTGTTGGTTCAGCCATTTCACAGAAATTCAGGCTGCAAAGTTGTCTGGTCAAGCATGTTGACCAGGATAGTCAGCAGGAATGTGCATTCAAAAAAAAAAAAAAGAAAAAAAAAGGTTATCACTGACTGTTTCAAACAGCCAGAAAGCAAAATTAGCATCCTCCAAAAGATCAGGTGCTCACAAACATTGCAAGTGGGCAAAATTAAAGATGTTCCATCTGAAATCAAGTTAACTTCAAGTGTCCTGATATAACAACTTATGGGAAAGAACATGGAGGTGCCATCAATTAAATTTTACTTAGATAGTGAACTTGTTATGGGCCTTGTTGCAGTAGGTGTAATCCTACACTTGGAAATACAAGGATATTTTCATTGGGGAAAAAGCTTGCCAGCAGCAAGATAAACCCCAAAAAATAAAAGGACAATCTAGAAAGGCTGGAAAAGCTGAGGAAAACCAATAGAAAGCAGCAGAGAGAATGGGAACAGACAGAGGTTGAAAAGTCCTATGGGGACAGTAGAACTCCAAGGGTATGGAGTGGTTCAAGAAGGGTAAACTTCAATTAAGCCAGAGGGAAACAACTGAGAAGCCAAAACCAAGAGAGGTTCTGAAGATTCAGAGGGGCAGTAGGATCCACGAGGGTTGAATTAGCTCAAGAAGGGTCACTTGATCTAAACCGAGTTTCAGGTAGCAGTGCCGGATGATCAGGACAAAACCCAAATAATTGGGTTTTAGAAATTACCAGTGAGATAAAAACCACATTGCACAAGTTTCGAACTTCAACCAGTCAAATTGGCATAGTGTAAAGTTCAACGAGAGAGAGAGGTGTAGGTTGCAAGTCCATGCAACCTACCGGAGCTGAAAAATCTAAGTACAACTCATTGACCTCCAGGAAATCAACTTTGTAAGAATGGTTGAATCACATATACAGATTAAAGAACTGGTCAGTGAAGGGTTAAGAGTCAGACAGGCAACATAGCTCAGTGAACATTCTTTACTCCCAAAACCAGGTTTTAAAACAGGTTAGAGGAAAAGTATGAATGTGGAATGTTTGTCTGTTCTGATCCTTTTTGTTTAGTTATTTCCTTCCCACTTTGCAAAAGGACCAAGGAGGGAGAAATATTGTTTGAGTTCCTTTGTGAAGGGGAGGTGTCCAGTCAATATAAAAAACAGTGTACATTTGAAATCCCTTGTCCAATTTAGTACCTGGGACTTCCATGGACTGAAATTGTTCTAAAAAAGGTCCAAAAAGACACTGACCTACATAAGGTAACATAACAGCAGCTAAAATTAACATTTTCTATAAAGGCAATGAAAGCCACTTGCAAGCCCTCTGGGAAGGCTCAAAAGGACATCATTTCCTGTTTAGATTTAGGCTGCACTTGTGCACCATACCACTGCTAGGTACAACCTTGCAGTCCACGAGTACTAAAGGTATGAATTGTACTTGACCTAATGTGGCAAAAACAACTGTGTATTGCACTAAAATAGGTTTTAAGCAGGATGTAAGTAATCAGACAGCAGCAATATCTTATTTTTAAATTGTAAACTCACTGTAAGGTCCAGTAAAACACAACAACAATGTGTAAATTTCTTTGCAAACTAATGCTCCTGGTTACTGTTGAATAGCCTATATGTTTAACATTTAAGTGTAACATTTCTAACAATTAATTAGCCTTTTTTCATTGAAACCAGGGACCTTCCTACCAAAAGGCTTTGACTGATTAGAATTGTTGTTATGTTTTTTCAGGTCTTACAACAGTGCACGCATAGATGGATCATAACAGCTACTTAGGAACATTAACTCTGTTTTACACCCGAGAATGTTGAAGATGAAGCCTTGCCTATGATTAGCAAGACTAAAACTTTGGCTTTTGCAGACAAAACACAAACAAGCTTGTAATTTAAAAAGGTGCATTTGGGAACGAGGTTTGATGAAATGAATGGTGCAACACCAAACGCACACTGAAAAGGTGGTTATGGGATATTTTCATTTATTAATGGAGACATGTACTAAAAGAACAATGGGTTCATGCAGGAACCACAGAAAACACTACTTAGACCATAACTCCAGTATGGCATACCATTCTGATCAATATTTGCTGAGGTAAGTGGAGATTGTTATCTTTGAAAAAGCGGATGTGGAAGGAAGGTTTAATTGAGGTGTATAAAATTATAAGAGGCCTTGAAAGATTGAGAAAGACTGAAAGGACTTATTTCCTTTAGCAGATATCAATAATCAGATTCAAAGATTTTAGATATATTTGGAAGCAGTACAGCTAACATTCATTAGATTGGTTCCTGGGATGATAGGGCCATCCTAATGAGAAGACCATTAAACTGGACCTTTATTCCCTGGAGTTTAGAAGAATGAGAAGTGATTTTATTGAAAATACAAAAATCTGAAGGGAGTTGAAAATGTCGACAGATTATTTCAACTAGCTAAGGGAATGAAAACAGGGGCATAATCTCAGGATAAGAGTCAAATTTATGATTGAGCTGTGGAGAAAATCAAGTTGGTGTTATTGATATACAAGAATAATTGTTGCATTGTATTTCTGTGGTATACTGGTTATTACAATCACCTAACGTGAAAGGAGATTTACAACACTGTTGCTAGGCATAGACAACATCTGCTAAGTTTAATAACAGGTCTGTTTGTCATAAGAGAATCTTGTGGCGCGGTGGTAGCGTCCTTACCTCTGGGATAGGAGGTTAGAGTTCAAATCCTACTTGCCCCCAACATGTGCTATAGTATGTCTGAATAGGTTGATTTTAAAAAGGTACTAGGTTCTAGTGGCGGCGGTAATGTTGCTACCTCTGGGCTGAAAGGACTGGTTTCAAGTCCCACCAGCTTCAGATATGTGTCATAACATATCCATGAAGGTGGATCAAAAATTCTACAAGAATAGTGTCAAATACATTAGATATTACTATAAGCATTTCAAATTCTCAGCACTAGGACCGAGAGGCATCTTGAAACAGGGGATACAAATAAAGAACCATACCGAGTCCATTTTGTCCTCCAACAGCATAGATTCTATCATTAACAAAAACTAATCCATGGTTCTTCCTAGCCTCCAGCATAGCAGCAAGCTCTGTCCACCTGTGAAAGACACATGAAATTCAACATTAGCTTATGCTGTTACTGCTGCTCATCATTACAAATAATTTCAGAGACCCTACCAAAAGCTTTTGGTAATATCAGCACAATTTCTTAAGGCTGATAAAAAAGCAAGCAGACTGCTTTGGTTTATCCACAGAGGCATAAAGTATAAAATCAAAGAAGTTACGTTAACATTTTCTAAGTCACTGTTCAAGTCTCAGGTGGAATGTTGTTGCCAAATGTGGGCACCATACTTAATAAGGATGTTGAAGCCTAAGGAGAGGGTGCAGGGAGATGTACTGGAGTGGCACCAGGGATGAGAGGTTTCAGTTCTTTTTCAAGAGATTGGAAAAACAGAGAAAAGAGAAGGTTATGGCTAGATTTGATATAGATATTCTAAATCTTGAAGCTTTTGACAAGAGTAAAGAGACACTTCCAACAGTTCGTACCAAGAGGAGATATTTTAAGGTATCTGGCAGAAGAACTAGTAATGACAAGAAAACAAAATTACAATGAGTGTTATGGTGAGTCAGAATCCGCTGCTGGAAAGGGTGGTGGAAGAGACTCTGAAATAACTAAGAGAATTGGATCCATGTTTGAAAGGAAAACAATTCTGGTATGTGAAAAGAAGGGGATTGGCACAAATTGGAATGATCTTTCAAACAGTCAGAATTGCTATGATGGGCCAAGTGGCCTCGTTCTATCCTAAAGCAGCAGAACAGTCCAAGTTTCTAACTGGAAAACTAACTTACAGCACTGGTAGATTACCAGAGAGAAGGACTTACCTGATGATTTTGGAAATAAATTCACTGTGCAGGTTAGAACATTGTTCCTACTTTTAACCACTCATACCAAAGGCAACAACACAATGGGATACACAAGCCTGCTACCCTCTAATACCATTTCCAAAATATCCAACTTCACATGCAAACTTGTTTTGTGCATTTATAGAGTATTGCTCTGTTGGAAAAGGGCGCACAAGTCCGATTGTGTATTTACTCAGTATTTGCAAACACTTCCAGAAATTTCACTGGATTAAAAACAAAGGCCAATGATAGAATTGCTAGTGGTATGTATGTCATGAAACTCTTTGTGTAAATGAGGGAATTTTCTTTCTTCATGATTATTTTAAACTATACTGAAATTACCAACTGGAGAAGGATAGAGAGAAAGAGAGCTATACTCTGACTTAATTCTTAGTTTGTGTTGATTTTAGCAATTCTCAGTAGAGATGATGGTAATTTATAATTAACAATTAATTTATAATAAACAGAAGGAACTAGAGGTTAAATGTACACAACTTATTGAAGGCAGCAGGAGAGCTTGAGAAAATGGTTAACAAAGCATATTAGAGATCTTGGACTTAATAGGGGCAGAGTGTACTGAAGTGTTAGGAATGATTGTATTGTATTAAATGCTAGTTAAGACTCAACTAGATATTGTTTCAATTCTGAGCATCACAATTTAAGAAAATCATGAAGGTTTGAGAGAGGGTGCAGAAAGATTTGTGAGAATGATTCCACAGATGGAAAATTTCAGTTAAGCTGACAAAAGCTGGGGCTGTTCTCTTTGGATAAGGTTGACAGAAGATTTGACAGGTGTACTTAAAATCACGAACATTCAGCATGCAGCACATAGGGAGAATTGGCAGTATGATCCAGAATTAGAGGACACTGATTTTTAAAAAAAAGTGTATTCACTTGTGGGACATTGGAGTCGCTGACTGGCCAACATTCATTGCCCATCCCTAGCTGCCCCTGAATTGAGTGGCTTGCTAGGCCATTTCAGATGGTAGTTCAGGGTCAGCCACATTGCTGTGGATCTGGAGTCACATGTAGGCCAGACCAGGTAAGGATGACAGATTTCCTCCCCTGAAAGCAGGGGGTGAACCAGATGGGTTTGTCTGACTGTTGACAATGGTTTCAAGATCATCAGTAGATTCTTAATGCCAGAATTGTTTTTAATCAATTCAAACTCCACCATCTGCCGTGGCAAGATTTGAACCTGGTCCTCAGAACAGTAGCTGAGTTTCTGGATTGACTGTTGAGTGATAATACCACTAGGCAACTGCCTCCCCTAGAGGCGATTAGCAAAAGGAGCTATGGCTATATGAAGAAAATCATTCTTATAGAGAGTGAATGGTTACAAACAAGGAACAGGCATAGGCCGCTCAGCTCTTCAAGCCTGCTTTGATATTCAATAAAATCATGGCTGATCTGATTTTAACTTCACATTCCTGAATATCCCTGATAGATTCTTGATTACCAAGGGAGTGAAAAATTACCTACCTGTCTCAAAAATATTTAAAGATTCAAAATGAATTATCTTTTGAGGACAGGAATTTCAAAGACTCTCAATACTCCGAGTAAAAAGTATCCTCTTCTCTGTCTTAAATGGGTGACCTCCAATTTCTAAACTATGTCACCTTGTTCTAGACTGTCCCACAAGAGGAATGATCTATTCAATATGCATCCAGTCAAATCCATTCAAAATCTTGAAATCAGAGATTGCTGGAGAAACTCAGCAGGTCTGGCAGCATCTGTGTGAAGAAAGCAGAGTTAATATGGCACGTCCAATGGCTCTTCATCTGAAGCCTCAAAATCTTATATGTCTCAATTGTCACCTCAGACTCTTCTAGATTCCGAAAGATTCAGGCCTAGTTTTTCCTCATAAGGTAATCCACTCATTCCAGGTATTAGTAAACCTTCTCTGAATTGCTTCCACACATTAACATCCATCTGTAATATGGCGACCAGTAGTGTATACAGTACTCCAATGCAGAGTCACCAATGGCCTGTACTGCTAAAGCATAACCTCCTTACTCTTGCATTCAATGTCTCTTTCAATAAAAGATAACATTTCTATTAGCTTTCCTGATTACTTACTGTATGCATACTACCATTCCGTTATTCATGCACTGGAGATGCAGATTCCTCTGTAATTCAGAGCTCTGCCTTCTCTCACCATTCAAATAATATGCTTCATTTTTGTTTTTTTCTGTCAAAATACTCTTCCACACTTTCTCATACCGTACTCAATTTGCCAGATTTTGCTCACTCATAACTTATTTATATATTTTTGTACACTCCTTATGTCTTCTTCACAATTTACTTTCCTATCAGCAAATTTAGCTACCATTCCTGTGGTTCCCTTCATCTAAATCAGTTGTATAAATTGTAAAGAGTTGAGGCCCTAGTGCTGAATCCTGTGTCATATTACTTGCGACAATCTGTGAGCCTGAAAAGGACCCATTTATTCCTACTCGCTGCTTCCTGTTAGCCGATCTTCTATCCATGCCCATATATTACCCCAACACCATGAGCTTTCGTTTTCTGCAATAACCTTTGATGTGGCACCTTATTAAATGCCAACCAAACAATATAGATTGCACAATAAAAACCGAAAGCGGATGCTGTAAATCAGGACCAATCAGTAAATCAGAGCGGAGTTCCGAGGAAGGGTCACTGGACCTGAAACGTTAACTGTGTTTTCTCCTTCACAGATGCTGCCAGACCTGCTGAGCTTTTCCAGCAACTTTGTTTTTGTTCCTGATATAGATTGCACTACCCGAGTATGGTGAAGGCAGATGTAACTGAGGTGTTCAAAAAAGAATTGGGCTTCAAGGAAAATCAGGGCAATGGGTTAGGTAAATTGCTGATGTAAACAGCTGACATGGACATCAAGTTGCCTCTTTCCATGATATTACCATTCTATGTTTCTATAGTCTCCATGTACACAAAGAAAAGTTCTTTCTACCTTTACTATAATAAAACATCACAAAAAGTTCATGCTTTTTGTAAATAAAACAAGACACCGAGCTCTTAAGGTTATGTTTCCCAGAGCACCATACAGGACGCATGGGATATCGGGAGGTGTTTGTGTGTGTGTCTGTGCGCGCGCGCGCACACGTGTAAGTTCAGTTGAAGACATTGCCATTATTGGCGAAGCATTTAAAACAGTTCATCCTCAAAATTCCACAATTAGTTGAGCGTAGAAATCTCGGAAAGATTGAGGGGCTGACAATGACAGAGATAGGGAACAGCGAGGGCATGGAAGGATTTTTAAAAAGCGTTGAGAATTCAAAAATCAATACCCTGCTTGCCTAGGAGCCTATGTAAATCAGTCAGCAGTGAGTGATAGGTGAGCATTCACACCATGGGTGACAGAGCTCTGAAAATTTAGAGAATGAATGAGGGTTTCAGCAGCACATGTGCTCAGACAATGGTATACTCAGGTGATGTTACGGATATGAAAGTAGGTGATCTTAGGGATGGCACAAATACATGGAAGAAGCTCATCTGGATATCAAATATAACTTCACAACAGAGTCATACAGCACGGAAACAGACACTTCAGCCAACTCACCCATGTTGACCAGATTTCCTAAACTGAACCAGTTCCATTTTGAACAGACTGGTTTAGCCTCGAACAGTTGCCAAAGAAGAGAGATAGAGTGAGTTTGAAGGAACAGTGTTTGGAGTTGGGACTGAAAATATTTAATTGGAGAAAGTTTCTGGTCATCCAATACTGGATATCAGGTAAGAATCCTGTTAACTTAGCAAGATTGGAGCGATCAAGAGTGATGATAATGAGGAGCAGCTGTGTGGCCTCAGAGTACATGTTAAAAGTAACACTGTACTTTTCGAAGATATTGCTAAAGGGGTGACATGTAGATGGGAAACAGGAGGCCAAAGATAGATTTGTGGGTAACACAATAAAAGGTGTGGAGCAGAAAGAGAACTAATTCCAGGTGATACTCTGGCCATGAGTAGGTAGACAAGAATGGAATTAGGCAAAAATAGTAGGAACTGCAGATGCTGGAGAATCGGAGATAACAAGGTGTAGAGCTGGATGAACACAGCAGGCCAAGCAGCATCAGAGGAGCAGGAAGGCTGACGTTTCGGGCCTAGACCCTTCTTCAACGTCAGCCTTCCTGCTCGGCCTGTGTTCATCCAGCTCTACACCTTGTTATCTGGAATTAGGCAAAAGCAATTTATGCTAAAATGCAGTGGGAGTGGAGGAGAATGGTATGGTCAATCATAACAAATGCTGCAGACAGGTTGCAAAGGACCATTACTTCAAAAATGAAAGATGGGAATTCAAAATTAAGATAAGTTTTGAAAAACAGAGACAAGTATGGCTCTTTTAGAAACCACACCTTTGGAAAAGCAAATATTTGTAGATTCCAAAATTACTGGCACTTACGATTCAGTTGCAGGATTGTACACTTCACAGGAATTCAGAACTCTTCCGGATACATTGTTGCCTAAACTTCCCCCACAAACATAGATAAGTCCTTTAGCCTCAACCATACCATGGCTGCACCGGGGTGTCAACATACTGGGTTTAGTATGCCAGTTTTCTGTTCTGGTATCGTAGCACTCAAACAGATACAAGGCAGAGTTTCCTACAACAGGAAAGAATAATAATTAAAATGGGTAATACCAATCAACTAGAAGTGTGGCACCGTTTATATCTTAGGAGCAGGTAACCTATTTTGATGTATAATACAGCATTGTCACACCAGCAATTGACTTCTACGAGAGTCCCTAAACGGATGAAAAGTACTCCCCATTCAATATGGGATAAAGAAATATTTTCTGCTCAAGTTAGAGCTTTCACAGTCCCAGGCTGTAGCGGAGCTGGCAAACGTCTACTGCAGCTATTTTTACATTTGGTCTAATTTTCAGTAGAAAGGTAATGGCAGAGAGAGAGAATTGTCACATTTGTCTAAGAGCTCACAATTAACGAGTATGTCCTGTGGGTCCATTAATTACAACACTCATCAGGATGCTTCGCAAGCATATCAGTTTAATATTTATGTACATGAAAAACATTGATTAGTTGAAAAAAAATGGACTCTAGTTGAGGCATTGCTATGGAGAATACATCGATTAATGCTAATTGACAGTTAACTGCCCAGCTTTGTTAGACAACTGATTGGTTAAAGCAATGAAAATCAAATGGTTGTCACCTTCTTTGTTCAGTTGTATATTCATTGTGCCTATTTCATGTTCCTTCCGTTAGGATAAACACTGTATATTAAAATGTGCATCTTCCAACACACACAAGTACACTACACCATGCATCCAACTGACAATTTTAAACCGATTGTTAGCAATTTTTCACACACTTGGCCATTTGCTAACACACTTCTCAGGGCAATTCCCTGACCAATCAGATTCAATCTGCCCAATTTAAAATAGCTTAGTAATTAACTAACAAACAATCAGCATTAATGGCTACATTTTCCATGAAGGTTTTCTAAGATTACATAGGGATCTTGATCAAATGGGTCAATGGGCTGAAAAATGGCAGATGGAGTTCAATCTGGATAAATGTGAGGTAATGCATGTTGGTACAACAAACAAGAGTAGGGCTTATACAATTAATGGTAGGGCCTTGGGTAGTGTTGTAGATCAGAAGGGACCTATGGGTGCAGGTACATAATTCTTTGAAGTTTGTGTCACAAATAGGCAGGTGGTTAAAAAGGCGTTTGGCACGCTTGCCTTCATTGCTCAATCCTTTGAGTACAGGAGTTGGGAAGTCATGTTGAGGTTGTACAGGACAGTGGTGAGGCCTCTTCTGGAATACTGTGTCCAGTTCTGGTCGCCAAGTTATAGGAAGGATACTATCAAGCTGGAGAGCCTTCAGAAGAGATTTACCAGGATGTTGCTAGGAAGATTTGAGTTTTAAGGAAAGGCTGGATACGCTGGTACATTTTTCCACTGGAGTGTAGGAAGTTGACAGGCGCCCTGACAGAAGTTTATAAAATAATTAGGGGTATAGATAGACTTAATGGTAATTGTCTTTTCCCTAGGATGCGGAATTTCAAGACATTTTTAAGGGGAGAGGAGAGAGATTTAAAAAGACATGAGGCAATTTTTTTTTTAAAAAAAACACAGAGGGTGGTTCACGTGTGAAATGAACTGCCTGAGGAAGTAGTGGATGCAGGTACGATTAAAATGTTTCAAAGACATTTAGATAGATACACGAATAGGAAAGGTTTGGCGGGATATGGGCCAGGAGCAGGCAGGTGGGACTAGTTTAGTTTGGGATTATGTTTGGACCAAAAGGGTCTGTTTCTGTGCTGTAGCACTCTATGACAATACTAATGCAAAGTAAATTTGAGAACAAATCAGCACTCTCCTTTTGTGCAGTATAAATGTCAATTTTCCCGTTGAATTGGTATTCTTGCAAAATGCCTTGATCAGTTCAAGACTGAAAGCTTCAAAAAATGTTTTTTTCACCAATTTTCAAATAGTAAAGCTGTCTGACTGTATATTTGCCACATATTTATAATGACATTTTTATCAGGAAAAAGTCAATCAAGCAAAATCTTCTGAAACTATTAATATTTGTTTTGGGTCAAAATACATTTAGACTCCCTGATGATCACTGAATAATGCAACTGGTACCTAGTACCACTATACCTGACAGACCTCGGGGTAACAAATGTGAATTCAGGTCTGTTGTTTGGTAGCTGATTTTAGCTGTTACAATACTGGAGGACAGAAATAAAGTAATTCCTGCAATTGAACAATATTCCTGAATAAGTACTGAGATTTGTTTTCCATAATCACCATTTCACAGGCCAATTCCTGAAATGATACTGACTTTATTTTCTGTAGGTATCAATAGTGGAGAATAACAGAAGCACCTCTTCAGCTTTATGAATGGCTTAGGGTCAAGATAATGAAGAAGATGCAAGAAAATTTTGCAAACATTTAGAATGAACTATAATTCTTTGTGTACTCATTATTGCAGAGCATTTCCCAATAATAAAAAAAGCAGCATTTTGAAGTTTGATTCCCAAGACCTAGGCTTTCCTAGAGGGTCAGCATGTATTGCTCATCCTAATTGTCCTTGAAGGTAATCATGGACCTTCTTGAGTCTTCTTTAATGAAGGAACTGTGACGTATGTCCAAGGTAGGACAGTTTATGTATTGTGGTGATGTATTTCCATACACCTGGTGGACTTGTCTCTCCAGGTGGATGAGGTCCTAGATTTATGAACAGATTGCAAAGAAGCCTTGTTGATGTGCTGCAGTGCATCGCTGAATACGCAGTCAATTAACTCACCTACTTCAGAGCCACCAGATGTGTAAATCTTGCCTTCTGCAGCACATGCTGCAAGACTGTCTCGAGGTGTTGGAGGACCAAGCTTAGAATACCAGCTATCCTTAACCACATTGTAGCAGTCCATCCGTTTGATGGGGAAAAGCTGTGAACCACCTAATATGTACACAACATTGTCCCAGAAGACACACGCTGCATCTCGACGTTTCTCAAATGGACAACGAATGTCCATCCAAGTATAATCCTGTGCAAAGAGTAATATAATTTAAGGAAACTATCTCCCAATTAATGGAATTTGACCTACTGGAGTACTGCAATACATAGCAAGAGCCAATTCATCTCACTTAAACTTGGCATATTACACTGAACACTTTAGGTGGTATTAGGGTAATGGTAATATTTCCCAAAGGTTAGAAGAAATTCAATTTATGTCCGATTCTTGGCAAAATGGTATCAAAAGTTAAAATACTTAAAATTAACCTTAAGTAAGTCTGAAAACCACAATTAAACTCTTCAGGGTGATCTGCAGCAATTATGTTATTTTAAAGATGAACAAGATGATATATCCCACATCAAATGTGTTTTTTCTTACAGCAGCATGAGACAGACATCTGCTTCACTGATATATCACAAAAGGCAGTACATATTACTAATAATTTTATTTCAGATAAAAATTCCTACTTTATTGACATTAACTACAAATAAAGTCTAAAAACTTTTCTGGACTATGGCTTGCATGATGAATACCAACGTACAGCATGTGTGATCATAACTGCAGTCATCTAATTTGATGAACTGTTAACTTCAAATCTTAGATGTTGCTTGGGTCAACTGAGCATTTCCAATACTTTCTGTGTTTATGACCAACATGGACTGATTTGACTCAACTACTTTTTTTTTATTTTATGCAAGTTTTGTATAAGTTCTATGATAATACTTGGTTTTGCAGAATTGCTGATTGTAAACCTTTTGCTCCCATGTTACCCCCCTCCTCTCATCCTCAGACCCAAACGTTTACCTTAGGATTAAAGTATCGACAGGACTGTGGCTGAGATCCACCGAACAATGCAATACGATAATCATGTTTCTTTTGTCGTGGTCGTGTACTTTCTCCCAACTCTTCCCTGTCCTCGGGAGACAGAAGATGATAACGCATGCCACCTAGATAGTGAAAATTGTCAAGAATGAAAAAAAGTACCCAAAACTTTCTGGGTGTTCAGGTACATAAAAGTAGTGTGTTTCAAAATCCATTTAGATTGTCAGTCCCTCAATAAGTCAAGGTGGTTTGAAATATTCACTATCTCTGAAATTGGTGACTTATTTTAAGTAGAATTTTTGCAGTTTGTACATTCAGCGTGACTACTGAAATCAGTATAAAACAAAACACTTTTTTAGTCTTTTCACCCACTGTCAACACAAATTAGATAAAGCTTTTCTATATTGCCACACAATGCACTTTACCTCTAACATCAAAGACTCATTTCAGTGAAAATTTTCAAGACTATACTGCCTTACTGCTTAAGAATCACTACAATGTGGAAACAGGCCCTTCGGTGCAACAAGTCCACACCAATCCTTGGAGCATCCCACCCAGACCCATCCCCCTATAACCCACCTAAGCTACACATCCCTGAACACTACAGGCAATTTAGCATGGCCAATCTACCTAACCTGCACATCTTTGGACTGTGGAGGAAACCGGAGTACCCAGAAGAAACCCATGCAGACACGGGGAGAACGTGCAAACTCCACACAGACAGTCACCTGAGGGTGGAACTGAACCTGGGTCCCTGGTGCTGTGAGGCAGCAGTGCTAACCACTGAGCCACCGTGCCGCCCCTTAACTAAGCGATACTTAGTTAAAATCAATAGCTAGATTTGATTTGGGTTACTGGGTTGAGAGTGCCTGTATTCACCCAACACCAATATATTGAATCCAAAATCATTTCCTGGGGGAAAACGACAGTGATTTAGCTCATGTAACAACAGTTCTCAAATAAGTATATTTGATCAGAGTGAAATAAATTAATGTGCTACATTACATTCTAGTCACAATAAATATTAAATGACCACCCTTGTACCAAATGCATATTATTCCTATTTCATCCAGCAACAATCTACTATTTTGTCACATAATTACATATGAATTCAATTATGCTTTGGCTTCATTTGTTACGCAGATATACTAATGTATCTATAACCTGATCAGAGTATATGTTGATTCTTGGTCATCTTTCTACTAAAGCCCAGTAAATATTCATTTAAAAGGTCACTATGAAATATGTAGAAGAACAGACTTTTAAATTAATTTTAAATTGAACTATTTGAAAAAGAGAAAAAGCCCTGTGCTTAATGTTCTGATCTATATCAAAATCGACTTAGTTGAGAACAAAGTTGAAAGTAATCATGTATTTTTCCACTAAAACTAAATGTGGCAATGAGTTGGCAAAACACGTATACTTACTAATAACCATTTTAAGACACTCTGGATTATCCTGTATGAGTGATTCTGCTTGGACAGTTTTGCTTAAGAAATTCTTAGAGATTAACGGAAATCTGACTTTAGCCAGAATATCAACCATGTACTGCTGTCGATTGAGTTCATCATATTTTAACCATCTGACTGCTGCATCATAAACCTACAGTGGAACAGAAATAAAACATCACAAATGAATGAATCATGCTTGAAGAAAACTTATATACATTGAATGCATATATCCAAAGAGTTACTGTAAAATTTATCAAATTAATATTTAATTCAGCTTACTCTCTACCCCTACAACATAAATAATAGAAAGACATTAAGGTGATACAGAGGAAGCATTTTTATCTCCTAAATGATTTTGTATTCAGCAGGAAATGACAGTAATAAATAGGCTTTCTCCCCATCTAATCCAACCTCAAATTCAATACCAATACATAATCACTGTTCTTGTCTATGTCATAGTAACGACATTTGGTTTTAAATGCCTAGAAAATTTACTTGAATAGTGAGGACTTCTAGGGAAATTTGAATATGGCTGTGTGTACCTGGTCTTCTGCTCTAACTGTCAGAGCATCTTGTTTCAGTACATGAGTTACTCTTTTAACATCAAGTTGTAAAAATTCATCAGTTTTGTAAACTTCAGTGAAATGCTGATGAATGAATGCATCTGCTGAAGTCTTCAGCTCTGGACAGTCAAGGCACTCTGCCAACACACTTATTCCTGCAAACAAAAACATGAACACACACAGTAGATGATGGAAGTTAGAGAGGTGAACTGATTCCTTTGCTAGTCTCATTCCTCCACTGGTCATAGGATAACAAAGTTTGTATTTAAAAATGGCAGTGATATTACCAATTTTGTAGGTACGGTTCTTTATTTAACAAGCAATAGCTAGTTCATTACAACAAAAAAAAAACAACTTACTGATGCAAAAGGTTTACACTGTACAAATATACCTTACCTATATTCCTGTATCCATAATCAATGAGGCAAACATGGATAACACACCAATTCTGGTTGAACAATCCAAAGAGCACATCAGTTAACAAATGCACTCAAGACAGATCCCATAGATTTCTCAGGACTTTCCCAGACAATAGGGACATTGTATGTCATTATTTTGCATTAAAACTTTACATGCAGTTCAGATTCTTCTCTCAAGAACTAGCTTCAGAACTCACAAAAGCCACTCCACCATGGACTTCCTCAAAGACTGCTCAAGTCCCGGTAATTTACACTTCTTTGTTGGGTCTGCACTCCTCTAAATTTTGGAGCCTACCCACAGTCATGATTTCAGTTTATTTGCAGATGTATAGCTTCACCAAGCTAACACGGCCTTCGGTTTCTCCAAAGTCTAATCCTATGCAGCTACATCAAGAAAATACCATTTGAGGGCTTCCTTCAACCCCTTTCTCCCCTATTCAGCTGCACTGAACTATTAATTGCTCACAAGCTTCTGCTCCCATGACTCATCCTACCTGCCTAGAATCTGCTAAAAGCACTTACATTGCTTAAAGCCATTATTTGCTTCAGGACCCTTTCAGCTCTGACTAATTCTGACCATTTAATAACTCTTCAACTATTCTGAGCGATATATCAAAAACATTACAAGCTCTGTCTTTATTTAGAGGCAAAGCAAATTTCGCAACCAGAACACATTGTTCCTTAAGTGTTACAATATTCAGAGATTGTCGGTTGACATGTACAAATAGTTCCAACTGCAAAAAAAAACAAATTTCACCACTCCATAATAGAAAAGTATTTGGTCAATCACAGATTGGTCAACAATCCTCACAATCTCTCTTTCAATTATTTATAAATTTTTCCTTCAAAGATTCAAATCTGCTGATTCAATTACTTCCTGCAGCAATGCATACATGTGCCAACAAGTCTCCGTACAAGAGAAAATCATTCTAAATACTAATCCCTTTCAGTGACCATTTTGATTGTTGACCAGTCAGAAGAAAAAGATGAGACGAAATAGCGTTTCTTTATCATTAGAATAAAATTCTTCATAATTTTAAAAACTTCCACAGCATCTCTTAGTACTCTGCTTCCATAGAAATAGTCCCATTATCTCAAATCTCTTCTGTAGTGTGGATATTGCAGCTGCTCCTGAGTTGTAGGCCTTCTTATATAATTCTTAGGCTTTTCACATTTGAGAATCATAAGAGTTTTACTTTGAATCATTTTGGAACTCTTATGGTTTATACAGAGTGTGGTTCATACATGGAATGAACTGACAGACAAAGTGGTAAATGCAGGTACAGTTACAACATTTAAGACATTCGGATAAGTTCACGAGGTTTGGAGGGATATGGGCCAAGTGCAGGCAGGTGGGACTACTTTAGTTTGGGAACATGTTTGTTGTGGGCTGGTTTGACTGAAAGGTCTGTTTCCATGCTGCATGACTATGTCTCTTTCCATAGTGTACGGCTGTGTACAAGCGTAGTTTAAATTTCCTATGATGGAGCATCAAAAACTGTACACGGTGCTCTAATTTTGGCTTAAAATATCTTGTACAAATAAAATTAAACATTAAAAGAATTAAAATTCCTCTTTCAAAACAAAAATGGCGTAGTCCTATTCTGGTCGTGAATGACTGTCACAGTCTAATTTAGCATTGCAAAATGATATGCTTAAACGGATTTATTTTATTAATTCCAAGAGACTACGATTGGTGATGGAACAAAGAGGCATGCGTGCACATCAAGTCTTAAAAGCTAGTGCCAGTGGAATGTTGGCTTTTATCTCACGTGGGCGAGAATACAGAAATGATGAAGGGATGCCTCAGCTGTACACAGCCTTGGTTAGACCGATGTGGACTATTAGAGTTTAGGAAATCAATGCTCCAGAGAGATATATTGATAACTTCAGACTCAACACAATACAAATGGGTTGACTTGTGTGCATAGGTTGCACAAGCTAGGGTTGTATTTCCCTTAGTTTAGAAGAGCAAAGTGTAGTCTAGTCAAGTTGTTAACAAAAGGATTCCAAAAGATACACATTATTTTCGCTGGGTTGCAGAATGCAGAACAAGAGGGCTTTTTACTTTTAATGGCATAGCTGCTACATTTTAGAGTAGAATTAGGAAGCATTTTTCCACAGAAAAGACAGTGGTTACTTGGTTTATTAACAAAAAATCTAAGATTTTTTTTTTTTTAGAAGATGGGTATCAAAGGATAAAGAGCAGTGACATGTAAATGAAACTGAGACACAGATCAGCCATGACCTAAATGAATGGTGGAATGGGTTCAAGGGCTGAATGACTTCCTGCTGATTCAACTTATCATCTAAAAAACTGAGGGGCAACTTCCCCCTCCTACAAGTTATGTCATTTTGAGATCTACTGGTATTTACAACTGGAGATATGAATAATTATGTGAATGAAGTTACGATAGAAAATTGTGTACTGACTGCACAAATTTCAGGCAGGCCTTAAAGCATTATAAGCCTATTGAGAACTAACTGATCTATACCTCTGGATGGAAAGCACACCCGAAGAGTCACTTACATATTCTAGCAGGAACACTCTTTAACAATCAGAAGTAGGAACTCTAGTCAATTTTCTATTCCCTAATACAATGGTGCTCTGGGCAAATTTACAGCCTGGTCGAAAGGTTCTTGTGGCACAGTGGTATTGTCTCTATATCTGAGCCAGTTCAAATCCCACCTACTCTGGAGACGTGTCAAAGCACGTCCAAGCAGCTTGATTAAAATGACTACAAACTGGTTGAGTGATTCATTAGAATCCAATGGAAAAAAAAAATAAAAAGAAACTACTGTCAATAAAAGATGACACTGTGGAGGATGATTTGGAGTGATTTTCCTTAATTAACATCACCAGGGTCTCTATGTACAGCATCATTTGTCTATACTCTTTGCTCTTATTAGAAATCAAGACAATATAGGTGAAACGCATGGCACAGGTTTCAGAAACGAAAACAGTATCACTGTTACATAGTAGTACCCTATTAATACGATAGTCTTTTACACAGATCAATGACATACCAAGACAATTTGAAGCATCAATTTGCTCTTTGAGGAACTCAACACACATTTTCTTCACTGGTTCAATCTGATACTGGTTTGCTGCATCCAAGAGAGATTGAACATTATTGCTGTTAACAGAGATCCTGCAAATACATACATAAAAAAATTGGAAACTATAAATGCAGTTACTTTGAATCAAGCTTTTTACATCATGTTTCTGTATTTCTTTGGGCAACAGCTTTGTTGGCATTCAAAAGGTAATTTGATTGTTATTTTAAAATGAACAATGTGCAGGGTTACAGAAAGAAGGCAGGAGAATGGCACCAACTGAAATACACATTTGGAGAGCTGGTTATCGTTCCAAAATTTGATCTGGAAGGAGGCGACAAGCCAATTTTTGGATGAAATGAAACATTGATTAATTTTCAAGAGAAAAGCCGAATTGAAAGTGAGGCACCAGTGATCACTAACTCCTGTCCCTACTCAACGCGCCGCTTTAAATGGATTAAAGCAGAATAGAAGAGTAACCAGACCATGTCAGACTTCCCTGAGAAGGAGGCATGGCTTTCACCACTATACAGTCATAGAGTTATACAGCATAGAAATAGGTCCAACTTGTCCACACTGACCAGATAACCTAAACTGATCTAGTCCCATTTGCCAGCATTTGGCCCATAACCCTCTAGACCCTTCCTATTCAGGTACTCATCTTGACGCCTTTTAAATGTTGTAAACGTAACTGCCTCCACCACCTCCTCCAGTAGTTCATTCCATTCTAACAACTGGTCAAGAAATGTCATCTCTCATAGCATAATCTATGCTGTTACATGTATTCACCTAAATTTCTGCTTATACTTTCACCATTTAAACCACAATTCATGTCACTTCTGTGACAAATTACAACAAAGAAGGCCCAGGAGTAAGACGTAGTCATCTGCAGCAAGATTTATGAGGGCTAAATCAAGATCATACAGCAAAACTATCATATCTCACACAAGCTTCTCTCCTCCATACTAAAGCTTTACTAGAGAAACTGTAATCCTACCATTCCAAATATTCCGTTCACTGAAGAATACAAACCTCTTGCTATTTCAAGATCAATTAACTCACTCCAAAGCCATACAGCAATATCAATTGTAGGACACATGCTTCCTGAAGGAGTTATGTACGTGGAACTGACAAACGTACAAAGCAATGCAAGGTCTGTTCCTGGTGGCTTACTCAGCATTACAATCCTCCATGAACACAAACACATGAATATAGTAGAACAATGACTCAATCTATACAGACAAGGACAAACAGGACCATTAATTGGCAGAAATCCTCCCAGGTTCTCAATTCACATGAATTCAAGGTCAAAGGTAAATGATTTTCCTAGTTTTGCATTGCTGCCTGCATAAGATACATGCAAAGAAGCCTTACTGTATGAATGACTCCCTCTCACATACATCAAGGGTAATATATTATGTGAATATACTCAAGAGATTCAGGGACTAACTTGCCCCTAGATATTGTAGAATCTTTCAACGTGAGAAATTCACAGCACAAATTTGAACTGAACTAGCCACAAAAATATTGTGGCTACAAGAGGTGGTCAGAGGCTAGGAATCCTGCAGCAACTAAGTCACCTCCACGTTATCCAAAGTTAGACCACCATCTGCAAGGCAGAAGTCAGGAGTGTAATGGAATACTCCCCACTTGCCTGGATGGGTGAAACTCCAGGAACAAATCAAGAAGCCTAACATCATCCAGCACAAAGTGGACAGCTCATTTTTCATCACTTGCTCAAATTTCCTCAAATATTCACTCTCTGCACTACTAACATTTAGTAGCAGTTGTGTGAGCCATTTACAAATGCACTGCAGAAATTAATCAAGGCTTCTTAGGCAGCATGTTTCAAACCCATGACTACTACCGTCCAGAAGGACAAGGGCACGAATAAATGGGAACACCACCACCGGCAAGTTTCTCTCCAGACCACTTACAATCCTGATATGGAAATAAACTGCTTTTCCTTCACTGTCACTTGGTCAAAACCCTGAAATTCTCTTTCTTACAGTACTGAGTGTATTTCCAACTGAAGGACTGCAGCAATTCAAGAAGGCAGCTCACCACCACCTTCGCAGGGGAACCTAGGGATAGGCGATAAATACTGGCCCAGCCAGTGAAGCCCACATCCCCTGAACGAATAAAGAAAGGAATTTTATTCTACCATTCCATTGTGTAATAGTGCAATACATTTAGTTGTAATTCAGATTTTCAGGGTGATTATCAGGGAGCTGTGGAAAAGTTTGTCTAGTTTTCCTGAGCTGAAAACTTAAGGAAAAGATTACAACAATTAAAGGCTAATTTTAAAAAAAGGACAGAAAAGGCAACATATACTCACCTTGCAGTATATGCAAACTCGACCAACAGTTCAATTATGTCAGGTTCAGCATCTTTGAGTTCCACTTCATAAGATTTTGATTCAAGCATATTTGCTACCAGGGAGAGAGCAAAGCATTAATAATGATCTAATTTAGAGTTCAGCATGAAGAGTTTTAATAATCACCTACGGAAATTGTAAAAATAACCAGCAAAACCAAACTTACTGGTAAACATTAGATTGAAAAAGTGGCTGGCAGCTGCAAGCACTACTCGGTGAGCTGGGATTTTTCGATCTGACACCACCAGAAGCACATCACACAAAAGCTTCTGAACAGGAAACAAAGAAATTAGTTTAACATGATAATGGAAAGAAATAAAAATTAATCCAATGTAAAAAGGAAGTTGATTTGTTCAACCAGTCCATGTTGGTGCTTATCTTTTATGTAATATTATGATCCCAGCTGGTAGCAATACTGGACAAGCCAGATCCCAGGTCTGGTTTCATAGATAAGTTTAATTTTTGCAGTTGGTTACCCTGGGTGGTTACTCAGTGATCACATGCACACAAGGCTGCCAATGTTTTTTAAAAGGAGAAATGGAGTTTATTATATAGAAGATAAAAAAAATCAAAGCTATATAAATGACAGCTTAGAAAGATCTTAACATAAACAGCAAAACAATGTTTCAAACTGTTCCCAACAACATCCTTTCATCATAATAAAACAAAGAACTGCAGACATTGGAAATCTGAAACTAAACAGAATAAAAACCAAAAGAACTGCGGATGCTGTAAATCAGGAACAAAACAAAGTTGCTGGAAAAGCTCAGCAGGTCTGGCAGCGTCTGTGGAGGAGAAAACAAAGTTAACATTTCGGGTCCGGTGACCCTTCCTCAGAACTGATGGTGGCTGGGAAAACGGCAGTTTAT